TCACGAGAGCTCTCCAGATCCGCTGTTCTGTTTCAAAAAGAACCATTTTAAAGGCATCCAGGGATCTGAAGAATGATCGAGATTGATTGAAACAACTTTCAGAAAGGGTTCGAACAAGGAACAGATAGAAGAAACCCAGCATTTTCACCCAATAACTAGATAAAACATAAGAACAAAGATATTGTTCTTTAATGTCGATAAGATCTGTTTTATGTTGTCTGCTAGCTATTTAAGGATAAAAGTAGACTAATTAGTTGAATATCAATGCGTCAGGTACAGTGAAACTTCGACATAACGAAGGGCCAAGGGACTGCCAAAAATAAATATGTTCGCTTTGATGAGGTTTCGTTGTATCGAGGTTCTTTTCCATACATTTCACTACTGCTGGGGCGAAGAATGTCGTTCGTTATACCGAGGACTTCGTCATATGGAGGCTCGTTCGTTAAAACTGGAGCCATGTACCAGAATAGCACAAGCAATTTGTTAAAACACGCAATCAGAAACACGATATATTTAATTAACGTTGTCAAGTTTTGCTCCCCATAACCTCAGCCCAAAGTGACACACGAAACTAAGCTAATTTGGGAAAGAAATCTTCAGACCGAATTTAGAAGCTGGAGTGGGCATAGAAAGGGTTTGTAATGCGTGAAAAAAGACATAAAATAATTGATAGAATGATTCAATCATTAATGGATGAAATCACTCTGACCAGATTGACTATGAGTATGTATGTTTCAGTAAGTTCCCTTCTCATTGGTCTTCACCAGTCCACTGACCGCGCTGGAATATAAACCCAGTGAATTGCAAATCAAATCAATCAAATGTAGTTGCATGTATTTTTAGGAGCATTATTTTCTTACGTAATGTTATTTACTTGATTAAAGCGGCGTTAAGGACTGACAAGATGTGCGCTCTTACTTTTTTTGTAGGAATATGTTTCATAAGAATATTGAGGCTTAAATATGCGAAATTTTAAGAATATTTTAAGAACAATTCCGAGGCTGAGGCTTGGAAAAGAATATAATGTTGCGTTGAAAATTTCTAAATACAATACAATTACATGTTTTTAACTAAACTGTGTAAAATTCGGTATAAAAAAAATTCTGTATAAAAGCAACAAAAACAGCATCAGCCGGTATGGTCGATGCTAATAACATTTCTGCAAGAAGTTATGTGCGTCAAATTAGGCCTAAATGCCTGCAGACTGGCTTCAACAGATACCGCGGAGGCCATTTTAAATTGGTAGGGCTAAAACTCTGGCCAAGAAGGGTCACCACTATTCCTCCGTTTTGTTACTTTCAAGTGGTAAAATTAATACATTCTCTATGTCATCTGGATCCCTAAAAAAATCAACCCAAGCAAAAAAGTGGTAGGGCTGTAACCCTTCCAGCCCCTCCCGTTCAAAATTACTTTAACATCATCCAGACACTAAATACATTCGAAACAGAAATGTCATAAACTATAATCTAGAAATATTCGCAAGAATATTATCAGTCTAAAATCGGCAGAAAAATAAGAATATTCAGCCTCAGCCGGAAAAACAAATTTTTTATAAAAAAGAGTGTAATATTTCAAACACGAAAAACCGTTTGACCACATTTCCTAACACCGAAAAGAGAGTTGAAAATACGACGCGCAGCGGAGTATTTTTGACGAACTTTGAGGTGTTTGGAAATGTGGTCAAACACTTACTTGAGTGTTTGATATATCTTCTCAATCGAAACTAAAANGAAATTTTAAGAATATTTTCAGAACAAATGCGAGGCTGAGGTTTTGAAAAGAACATAATTTTGCGTTGAAAATTTCTAAATACAATACAATTACATGTTTTTAACTAAACTGTATAAAATTCGGTATAAAATAAAATTCTGTATAAAAGCAACAAAAACAGCACCAGCCAGTATGGTCGATGCTAACAACATTTCTGCAAGAAGTTATTTGCGTCATATTAGGCTTAAATGCCTGCAGACTGGCTTCAACAGATACCGCGGAGGCCATTTAAAAATGGTAGGGCTAAAACTCTGGCCAAGAAGGGTCACCACTATTCCTCCGTTTTGTTACTTTCAAGTGGTAAAATTAATACATTATCTATGTCATCTGGATCCCTAAAAAAATCAACCCAAGCAAAAAAGTGATAGGGCTGTAACCCTACCAGCCCCTCCCCTTCCGCGGTCCCCGTTCAAAATTACTTTAACATCATCCAGACACTAAATACATTCGAAAACAAAAATGTCATAAGCTATAATCTAGAAATATTCACAAGAATATTATCAGCCTAAAATCGGCAGAAAAATAAGGATATTCAGCCTCGACCGGAAAAACAAAATTTATATAAAAAAGAGTGTAATATTTCAAACACGAAAAACCGTTTGACCACATTTTCTAACATCGAAAAGAGAGTTGAAAATACGACGCGCAGCGGAGTATTTTTGACGAACTTTGAGGTGTTTGGAAATGTGGTCAAACACTTACTTGAGTGTTTGATATATCTTCTCAATCGGAACTAAAACTAAGGAGAAAACAGAAAAATAAAATCGTAAAAACTCTATACTAATTAAGATCAGATATCCAAACACCGTCTCGGTCATGATTTCCCTTGTTTAAACTGGATGAATAATAAACGAGTTTGAGAAGGGTAATGCATAGATTTTGTTTCATTTCAGGTCCTGGAAAGCCTCAAAACTGCTCTGCTATGGCATTCTCCTCGACGGCAGTTTTGTTGACGTGGCAAACGTTTAGCAAGAGCAACGAATTGCAGAACAAAAGAGATTTCTCTGTAAGAGAGTATTTAGTAATGTCGCATGTACCTTAAGTCTGTTGAGAGAGATCCGGGTGGTTTCTTTGATTGGCTTACACTGACGCGCGAAAATGAGTCTTTATATGGAATTTTTTGGGTCACACCTCAGACGATCTCAAGTAAGAGAAAAGTTGGTCGCTTGTAAAAACTAGCAAAAAAACAACAACAACAAAAAAACCACGATAAACGCTTGTTATTCATGACATTTATTCTAGTCTATTTGGTGAATGATTTAGCTCTCCAGTTTACAGAAAATACCCAGATTTAAATTATTTTGTCAATGGCCTCGTTGGTGAAATATCAGACGATATTCCACGTGATATATCAGAATAATTAATCTTGTTTTTCGTTTACAGTCATTTTAATAATGCTTTTCGCCAGTTGTAAGTTCAGGGAAGTCTTAACCGAAATGTCGACGAAACATCATTGTCATTTCATTATTTTAATGGATTACCTCATTGTTTTTTCCTAGATTCATTACTGGCCGTTATATTCCAAAGATAAAGTCACCGTGCTTCAAGTTGGAGAAGTGTCTCACAAGTTGATTGAAAATCTTGACTTTATAACGTATTACGCCTTCAGGATTGTGGCGACAGATCACTCAGGAGAGCAGCATTACTGTGAGGTTTTGGCCAAGACGTTGAGAGATGGTGAGTTCTGTTTTACACTGGAAATCAAGTCGTATATATATTCGACTGTTATTAGAACACGTGAGCCAACGTCTTCCCTCCTTACTTCGCATTTCTAGCGAAATCCGCTATGGGAATTAATGGTGAGCTCGTAAGACCTCTTGCGCCTGTACTCATTGCGTTCAGTGGATTATTGCCATACCAAACTCTCGTAATGCGGAACTTCTGAAAAACGTGACAAGAAGTTATAAACGGGTTGTTCAAAAGCCGATTAACTCTGATCCATGATTAAAATTAACCGAAGTATTAATTTTTGTTGTGCAATGTTTTGTGTAGTTTGAGATTATTCAAACTCAAAACTGAAGGCCAAACTATATAAACAGAAAACCTCAGTTACAAAACTGAAATCAAGATTTTCGCTAATCCTGGGTTAGCTTAATCGGGCTTTGAACAACCCGGCCCGGAATTTAATAAAAACCCTCAAAAAGCGACTAAATTAAACCTCTTGGCTTACTTATCCTGGATCAGAGTTAATAAGCTTTCTAAGAGCCGGACCAGTTGTTTTGAACCTAAATATTTGAAAAATATTAAAGGAATGCGACAGTAGCCTGCATGGCAGTGCTCGCTCTAGTAATAAGAGAGAACGAGAAAACACGCGAGAGCACTCGTGAAGTGCAGAATCCATGTCACCGCGCGTGTGGTACCATTCCAAATCGCTCCTTACTATTTCTGCTCGCGCCCTATTACTACTCGAAGGCCTGTTACTCAGGGTAATGATGAATAAAATCCCTACCAAGGGGAGTCGCAATACTCCTAACTGCTTCAAGTTACATTCCTGCAAAAGAAGATCAACCAAAAATGTCACTTGGCCGTTCTAAGCTAACCAACTTAATTATGAATTACATTTTCAGCTCGTTTTACTGTTCCCCTGCAAGTAAAACGTCTGAGTGGAGGCGTCGTAGGTTTGAAAATCAACTGGAAAGCTGTTTCACTAGAGGCCACCCAAGTAATCTATAGAGTGTTTATGGAGAGGAGACCCAAGGGGCGGGTTCATGTGCGATTACTCTGTGAAACAAACCAAACGTCTTGCGTGGTTAAAGCAAGGTTGCCGGTTCCACATCGCATGTATGTCAGTGTTGTGTTGGTGAAAGAAGTTCACAAATCATTCCAGGCTGGAAATATTCGTTCCTACCCTACAGAGCGGGTTTTGATTACAGAAATTGGAAATTTACCGACTAAACCAGGTAGGAGATGAAATCCTCATTTCTTCTAACGGTTTGAATACATTCTGTTTATAGACCAGTGATAAGAATAACGAAAATCATCGGATAAGGGTTAGCGTCTTACTCAGCAAATTTATGTTACTTTAAAACTCTTAAAACTGTGAAAGGAAAAAATTGGACATGATTTTTGAAGTCCGCTTTCGAAATAGCTCTTCTAAATCAAGACGAAATCCGATAGGAAATCGAGGAATTTCAGGTTTTAATGGACAAAAACCTTGTACTAGAATAACTTTAGGTGTTTTACAGTCCTTTTTACGTTTTCTTGACGCTAAAGATATAAATAGCTGCCTAAAATAATAACCAGAAAACAATTTCTCGTGGAAACTCGAAGAAATAAATTTCAAAGTTCAGAGAAATTGTGCAAACACAGGTAAAATTTCACCATCAGTTTCATTTCACCGCCAGGTATTTTCGAATGTTTCATATGAACTTCAAAATTCGTTTTCGACATTTGATCGATGTTAGGAATTATTTTTTTTGAGAAGATATTGAAAGCAGTCTCACAGAAGTTTGCGAAATGATGTAAACAATCTCAGCACCAAGTTTTTGTCCACTTGTTACTCGAACTTCTGACCGGTGGATTCCTTCTTAATGTGTCGGTACTACAGAGGAAAGAAATCTAACTCTGTCCTGTATGTTCCCTTTCCTTGATTTTCCTCATCCACAGCTCATGTAAACAACAAGACTCACATCCTGAAAGTTGTAGCCCATAAGCTTGGCTGGAATTTTGTTATACTCTCATGGAATGCCATAACGGCAGCAGGCAGTCACGTGACCTACCGAGTTACATCCAGGGGAAGCAATAACATCATTGACAAAGTGACGTCAAATACATCAGTGCTACTTTCAGGTCTTGATCAGCTGACCAGGTATAAAATCAAAGTACAGGCTCAGGAAAAGAATGGAGGTTCTTTTCTCGCATCGGCTGTAGTCGTTTTTCACACTATGGGTGAGTTTTAAATATTTCGTATTAAAAGAAGTCAAGGTATTTTGACTTATTTTTGGCCACGTAAAAAATTACCTTTATATTGAAGGAAACCTAGAAAAACACCAAAGAGATAACAATAAGCTACAAAGGAACAAGGATAGTTAAGGATGGAGAAGATTGAACAGGATTACAACGACGAAACTGAAAAATTTTGCGCCACTGAGCTACTTCAACGACATCGCGACAAATCGTGATATGACTTTTGGAAAAACAACTGAAGGTTGAGTGTCTTAACTTCTTTGGTGTTATTGAAAAAAAATACGTAATATATTTCACGATGTTTTGTTTCAATTACACAACAAAAAGACAAAGAAATAATTGCTTTTGTGTAAAGCTCTGTTGAGCTTTCCAGAAACCTGTCGATAGGTGGAAAAATCTGCTTAGTAATCTGGGTTTAATTCTCAATCATTCAGTCAGAAATTTAAAATTAGTCCTGTTTAGACTCAAAGTTTATTTTGCCTTTTGTTTTCTCTCACAGACAATAACGAATGTTTGGAAATGTCCGATATTTGCTCCGATCACTCTGAATGTATAAATACCAGAGGGAGTTACTTTTGTCGCTGTCTTCCGGGATGGACTGGTGACGGAAAAACTTGCAAAGGTTTGTGGGATTGATAAGTTCATATGAGGAACGATTGAGAAAAAAAGGCCGCAAGAGGGTCTACAGAAGGCTATTTTGTGTATGCAAAACCTCATAGCTTGGCTCAACATATTTTGCAAATTCGTACTATTAAGAATTCTTTTCTTGTTTCAGAAGAAGCAGTTAACAACGACAACCACACATATTGTGACAACCACAACTACTTAAACATTACGTGGCCAATGACGTCAAAAGGAAACACAGCGCTATCACCCTGTCCTGGTGGAGCAAGAGGTACATTTTAATTAGATCCTTGTTCGAAAAAGTGGTCAGTGAAACTTGTTGAATCACGCCGTACAAACTCGTACAAAATTCGTCATCGTTGAACTTGGTTTACACTTATACTAAGAGTGGCAAATGAAACCAAAAGCAATGCATTGCTAAGAGTAAAGCGATCAGGGAATAATGATATCTATTTACTTTTTTCTTCGCTTGCTTTACAATCGTGTAGCGTACTTGAAAAAGTAGTAGTATGGGCACTTGAAAAAAAAACAAAAACAAAAACAAAAAAAGCCCACTAGATTGCTACGAACGTAGAAAGTTTAACTACGTACCTGATGGCTGACACAGCATTTCCGTCACTAACCAATTGCAATCATTATCCATTTTTCAGGGATCGCTAAGAGACACTGTCTAGAAATGTCTGATGGAGGTGCAGTGTGGAGCGTTCCTGACCTCAGTGAATGCGTCTCNAACATTTTGTTTTCAATCGTTGTTTCAGTTCCCTCTGCTTTAGCTGTGAAACTCCATAGCTCTCATAAACTAAATAGCTGTACTGTCTATTTTAGGATTCAATGGTTGCTGAAGCCAGTAAACTTTTAAAAGGAGTCGATGCTGTTGCTTTACATTTGGCCAAAACAGCACTCACAAGGGATGCCAGTGTATCTGAGGCAACAAACGTTGGTAAGTCATAAACTGACCCATAAACTCTTAGGGTAATGATTATAGGAAACTCTTTTTGGGGTAAACAGTAATTTTGGGAAACTCTTCGGTTGTCGCTCAATAAGTTTTAGAAGCTCCTCAAGTGATGCTAGATAAATTGAGGAACCTCTTTGGATGGTGCTCGATATATGTCGATAATTCTTCCAGTAGAGTCTGAAAGGTATCCTGACCCTTCGGGTATTCATCGATAAGTTTCGGGATCTCTTTGGGCGATGGTCTATCAGCATTGAAAACTCTTCGGAAGCTCTTCGGGTAATGCTCGATAAGTGTTGGAGAATTCTCGGGTAGTGCTCAATAAGCATCGGAAACGTACTGGATGATTTTTGAAAGATTTTCCAAACGTGTGCCCAGTGCAATACCTTCCAAACCACTTCAACTGCTGTTATTTACGTCCAGCTGTATGCAGTCTACGATTAATTCTATGTACAATATTCAGACGTTTCGCCAGTGGCTAATTTTTGTTACTGTCTATGTAATCGTTTCTTTTAAGTATTGAGTGCTAAGGCCATAAAAGACCGCGATCCAGTTGAGCAGCGAATGCCACCAGCATCCAGGAACACGAAGCCCACAGATGACGTCACCAGGAACATGCGCAATGTTACGTCTAGCAGCGTCTTGTTACCAGGCTCCGTGCTCATGTTGCAGAAAAATGAGAGTTACCCAGGTAAGTGACGTAATGTGTTCCTCTCATTTGTCGAGTACATGCATGGTGAGATATTCTTAAACTCATTGTAAAACACTATTGGATAGTGATAGAAATAGCGCTATATAAATAAAGTATTATTATTATTATTACTCGCAAGATAAAACAAAGAACGGTTCTAGACTCATTTTTGCCACGTGTACTGTTATTTGTATTGCACCAATGTCTGCTTACACAAAATTTAAGCACTGACACTCGGAAAAATGTTTTTCGAAGTTCTCCCAACAGGAGTTCGGATTGCTGTGAATTAATACTTCCTAAACTCTGCTAACTAGGCCACATAGCTAGGTTCAAACCTTGGCAAACTCACTGCTAACTGCTAGAATATTTACATGTGAAGAGGTAGGGATTTTCTTATCAGTAGAAGAATGAGAAAAATATTTAGTGGACAGTGACAACAACCTCTATTTTTTCGCTGATTTCAACTTGTTCTTCTCAGAGGCCGAAGGGCGGGTTTTATTTATTACTGACATGCAAGCGAAAACTGGACACGCCAAAGTCTACAAAAATAGCCTAAATCTTTGCTCTTTCTTTTTGTTCTCAGCCGAGACTCAATATATAACCTTTGCGTCCTTCCGTAACCTAAAAGCATTGATGCAACCGAGCGCGGAAAGCAGGTATGTTTTTTATAAAAACGTTTACGTCAAAGTGAAAGGCATTTAAGTTTCACAGTGCCCATCTCCACCCAGGGGTACAAATGGGTACCGGTAAATTGTTTGCTGAGCAAATTGACAAAATGCCTGGGTTATCCTAACATTGCATTGGCCTAGTATCACACCTAGGGGAAAGAAGCACTTCTCCAGATTGCTTCATTGCACGAAAATCGGGAGATGCTCCGGTTGTGATTTGACCCGAATACCGCATTTTTCATTTTTATCTTTTTGTACTTTGACTATTCAGATCGCCTGAGCCGACTGAAGAAGGAAGTGACTTGGGTAGAATCGAGTCAGAGATAACATCCGTTTCACTGCACCCAATGAAAATTAACAGCTTTGACGAGCCCGTCACCTTGACTCTTAAAAACACTCAGGTTGGTGTAAATTAGTACAGCATAAATTTGCCACGAAATCAGCTCGCCTAGGTCAAAGCATTGGCGTAGTTTTTTCGTTGAATTATTTGCTTAGTCTCAATTTTTTCATCTTTGGCTTGTAATTGTTTCTATCTCGCAGGATAGCGACAAAGGTCAAGCAAGCTGTGTTTTTTGGAACACGTCTAGGTATGTTATCAGAAAACTGTTCACTTCTATTCGATTAAATTTGCACTTAACGGAGCCCAATCACGGTATTTTGAGTTATTTTGGCCACGTACAAAACTACCTTTAAATTGAAGACACACCGAAAATAAATGTTTGCAAGATACAAAAACACTAAAGAGATAATAATAAACCATAAAGGAACAAGGATGACTACGGATGGAGAAGATTAACACGGATTACAAACGACCAACTTGAAACATTTATATAGGCTAAATTTTTGAAGATGCACAAACCGTGACGTAGCTCCTTTTAGGGCGTATTAAATCCCCATGCTTTGTTTAAGACAACAACGAATAAAATAACGGTTGCAAACAGAGCCCTATCTTTAAATCAAAAAGTAGATATGATTTAGACGTAGTTTTTGTTTGTGTAGTCCTCGCGGTTTCTGGTCAGAAGCAGGCTGTCATTTGACAAAGAGGAATTCCAGTCATACCACGTGCCAGTGCTACCATCTGACAAGCTTTGCTGTGCTTATGCGCGTAATCGACATACCAGACAATGACGTAATGGTAAGTTCTCACGGGTGTTATCAAGTAGCAAATGCCATTTATTTTGAAATCTCTGTAGGCGCAATTGGACTTCCAGATTCTTGTTATTTAATCAACATTGTTTTTAATTGAGCTTCACCTGTCAACCACTGATTTTGTGGCGTTAAGTTTGGTCAGTTAAAATGTTTAAAACAGGTTAGAATTTGTTATTCGCTCGTCTCGTATTGATTATCATAGCCTAAAGGTCCGAAAAGGACAAAAATTACAGTGAGACTGGCTTTGAGTCCTAGTTCAAGACAATGACATCTTTGAACCACGACATTGAGACCAAAGTTTTAGAGTCAAGGTGTCTGTTTACGCAGCTTATCTGTCAGTTGAAACTTTTTGAATATTTGATGAATGTCTTAACATTTTATCAACAGAAGAAACACCAGTTTGCATTGAGCCTGATTTCGTACATTGGTATCTCCATTTCCATCCTGGCTTTGTCCATATCTTTTCTCACCTTCGCGTTCTTAAGGTGAGAACTGCTACTCGCTTGTGAATCTTCGCGCGTGCGCACTTAACAGCCATTCAGCAACACTATACCCATCTCTTCACAGTTATGACATAATTATCACTTTCAGGTCGAATCTTAGCTGTTTCTCGAGCAAGAGACGACGCATCTATTAGTTCAGTCTAATTGTGGTACTGTTGTGATATACTCTATATTATATATCAAAACATTGCGACAAAATTCTGACTGCTTAAAAATTTTGTCTTGCCTTTCAGGTTTAGAAACACTCGTCACCGTTATTTTGTTCATGCTAATTTGGCGCTTTCCCTCGGTTTGGCGGAAACTTTATTTCTGTTCGGCGTTACCAAGACTGAAAACAAGGTATTAAATATATCTATCTATTCATGGCTGTATCGTCAAAACTATGAGACTTACTTTGAAAAAGAACCCATCAGCATTATCCCAAAACAGTTCCCTAGAATACGAGCAGTTACTAGTTTCCCTCAGAAGCGAAGTTGCGATTACGAAAAAAAGGTGCCTTTATGCCAGTAGAAAGTGTCTATACTTTTCTCTTAGAGGTTTGGTTCGCGAGCTCAAGGATTTCAGGCTTTCGAAATTTGGGCATTTTGAGCATGTGAACCTTATTTGCTCAAAATGAAACAGCTTCTGACCACAGCAGGTTTCTCCCACCATCTGATTGGGTTGAATAAGATTGTTTCAAATCGATTTTTTCAACTTCTACTACAAATTCGAGTGGATTTTGTCCGGTGTTAACTGATCGTCGCTGTTAATAACTACAATAATAACAATTCTCTTTCTTGCAGATTGTCTGTAAAACAATCGCTATCACGCTACATTATCTATTCCTGTCGTCGTTCTGTTGGATGGCGCTTGAAGGAATCGTCCTTTACCTTTTGCTCGTCAAAATCTTTCGCACCAAGACTCGGTCAGCAAGAGACAAAGCTGTGTTCATGCTGTGTGGTTGGGGTAAGTGTTCCTTGTAATATATTAAACTTAATTTAAGATTGATACTTTTTCTGTGGAAGTTAATCTCGCCCCACGGTTGCGATTCAAGGACCCAACACCCTAAAACATTCCAGTAAGCCTCGCGCCAACCGTTATTGGTTAACCTATCAGTTCGACCTCGAAAGAGACGAGTGTTTATTTGATGTGCAAGACCCGGAATCACCGTCATATTCAAGTAACAAGAATTTATGCGGTACTAGCTCAGTTGAACTTCAATATAAAGCTCGGTTGTCAGAAAGTCAATTGTCCCGGCCAGGAGGGTGATGGGACTCCTATATGAAATGGTCGGGGATGTGTGTTGTCTCAAATAGGGGTGTAAATTGCGGGTTTTGGTCTGACTGAGGACTTTCTGGACGAAACGCTAGTTTAAGAAGTCAAGGTATCTTTTAGGTTGCACTCGAGATTACGATCCTGTTGCACTGGAAGAAATAATAAAAAAACGCTGTCATTTCCGTTTTAAGTGGCATCTTAAAGAGATAAAAAAAAAAAAAAAAGTTCGAGCCACGCTCAGATTGGTCTCCTTGGAGGTTTAATTCAAATTTTCCGACGGGCACCCCCGACCTTTCACATGGGAGTCCCCATCAGAGTTAATTGGACCTAAGACAAGGAGACAAATAATGGAATACAATATGGTTGGTTCTTAACCTTGCGTCTATTGAACTTTCACAGGTGTCCCAGCTATTATAGTTGGTGGGTCTGCTTTGTTGTTTCACGAAGGCTATGGAACAGAAGAATTGTAAGTAACATTTTTGTGAAGTCGTTGTCTTCTAGAACACAGCTGTAAAAGTTATTGATCCCTGTCATTCTAAGATGGAATCGATAACTAGGACCATTAGACGTTTATTTAACGTGGAGAGTTCAATGGGCTTTGTGGTCGTCGTCTTAGTTTAGTCGGAAAGCTGTTAGTTCGACTGGTTACTTTTACGGTTTAAATATTAAATAGCTCGTATCTTGCAGCTGCTGGTTATCTTTCGAAAGGCATTTTACTTGGGCCTTTGTAGGACCGGTACTTCTCGTGTGTTTGGTAAGTGTGCGTCTTCTTTGAAACATCAATAGTGAATTTGACAACCCAAAACAACCCTGAACAGCTTTGAACGGGAAGCTCCGAAGGACAGATTGACAGTTTAGTTAACATTACATATTTTTCACCATGTGTTATAACTGTTTTTACAGTTGAACTTGATTTGCTTGGGGAAGACGTTTATGATCATGTCAAGTCGAGGAAGCATAAAGGATAGCGACACAAGCATCGAGAAAATAAGGTAAGACAGAGAGCAGGATTATGGGTACACAAGGGCGCAAACGGCTATAATTGCCCTAATTATAAATCCTTCCCCAGTTAGAGGAACACAGGTCCATCTTCCTGTTAACGAAATATTCCGTTTACCAGGTACACTTGAATATAAGCCCTAACCCATTCATTAGAATTGTATTCACAGAACATTGCACTATTTAACAATTAGATTATGAGCTCGAGATTTTCATGAGGTGATAGTTGATGAGGCCGAAGGCCTCATCAACTATCACCTCATAGAAATCGAGAACGAATAATCTCATTGTTTGAGTAGAATTCTTACTAAAATTTACTTCAAATAACGGTTTCAAGTTATGTCTTGACGTATTATTAATCTTTGCGCCTGAAAAAGATCGCTCGCATTGAATTGTCATTTGAATTTGAAGTTGTGTACGCGCGCGCATCAGTTTTTCAATAATTTCAACTTTTTTAAAAGTCAAGAAACCGTAAATGTCTTTCGTTTAGACTTCTCAGGAATTTAATTACCCATTTGCATCAAAAGTTTTCTCCAAAACTTTGGAAAAACGAAAAAACGTCGCCATTTTCTAGACGACCTCCAGCCACTGTACACTAATGGCTGATAACGTTCAATGGCTAAGCCAATCAGATTACAGCATTTGCATTAGTATACTAGTAGAATTCTACTAATTAAAAATAGTGCATTCATAAAATAAATAGTAGATAGAAACCTTAGATTACAGTGGGTTTCTCATAATACAATATATGCTTCCCCGTTAACAACCCCAAGCAGAAATATTTATAAAGAGTTTCATAAGCCCAGGGTTTATACCAGGAAAATATCATACAACGACTTAAGTCGATAAATCAATCAAAGTACATGAGATAATTCTCTTTGTGTACAACAGGTACTGGTCTAAGGGCTGTGCGCTACTTTCTTGTCTTCTTGGCCTGACTTGGATTGTTGGAGTATTTGTAGTCAATCAAGATACCATATTTATGGCTTACCTCTTTAACATATTTAACACGCTACAGGTAGGTATTATTACAAAAAATGCCATTTTACTTCAACAGTAATGGCATGTTGTTGAAATGATGATACACACAGTATGTGATCCCTTATAGCACCGAGTTAATTTTCAACGTGGAGGTTAAGTAACCACGGAAGTGATTTTGAAAAGCTGACGTGTCTAGCTTAACCCTCTGTTGGAGGAAGAACGATCAACATGTCAGCTTTTCAAATTCGCCATGGCTGTTAATTCACTTTATCAAATTCTGGCTGAAGGTTGGAAGTTTTAAGTTCACTTGCCCTTTATGCAGCATTATGATTTGTTTATAGTCGCTAGTTATTTCTTGCCAGACGAAATCATCTATTCTGACTGAATGATAATTTGTTCCCAGGGACTCTTGATATTTCTCTTTCACTGTGTCGGGGATGAAAAGGTAAGACCATTTACATTCAGATATCACTTAATTCGCCTATGCTTCGCAAATGTTTCTTTCATCCTGTGCAATTTAGTCTCAGAAAGATCACTTTTCTTATAATTTTTATTAACACGCTAAATGGACTGAAGAATAATCATGAACTTATGTTACCAAATTTGGCCTGTATTTTCTTGCCATTCCTTTTATAGGTGCGCGCAGAGTATTTACGCATAATCCGCTGTCAAACACGCTCGCAGGCCTACGGTACAGGTCGTCCCTTGTGGAATAAATCAGACTCATGTAGTCGTTCTAGAACGTGGGAGGAACGACATGGGAAAAACAGAAGAAATACGTTACAATCAAATATAGACTCTTCAAAGGTATGCAATGCTTTGTCTAGTTGGATATAATCAGGAGCCCATCACTATTCCTGTCACGGCGTTTTCACGGACCGATCTATTTTTAGTTTGAATTTACCGCGAATTCAGACCCCC